ACGTCGTCATTGTTGGGGTTCCATGAAGGTTTGCTTGAGTTTTCCCGAGGTTCCTATGTCCAGTGGTGTTGGTTTGGGGTTGTTGCTTATGTGAGTGACAAACTTGAGAAAGAGGGAGAGATCACAGAGGAAGAGAAAGGTCCAGGAGTCACACGGGAGAAAGAAAGAGAGAAGAAGAAGAGGGAAAGAAAGATGACGTTACGGGAAGAAAAGAGAGGAGAGAGAGAGTTATAAAAATCGGAAAAGGAAAGAAAAAAGGAAAGGAACCGGGGGACAAATCAAGGGTGGGCCCCCTTGGGCACATTTAAGACCCAAAAACCATCTTTAAAAGGAAAATATCCCCAAACTTAGTGAAAATACAAAAATACCCTTTTTGTTCTGTAAATCCCGGGACCGGTTGTTACAATCTACCCCCCTTAAAAGAATTTCGTCTCAAAATTTAAATCACTTACTACACTGAAATACTCGAAAATAGGAAGAAGAATATATGTATAAAGAGAAATCAAGTCGGAGTGGGTGCATCAAAGAGAATATGCCACACTGTCGCAAGCGAGTTGCAAAATCCTCTATCATGCCTCCAAGCTCTTACTTTCTTCCCCATCAGTGTATAAGTAGAAACATACTTTAATAAGATATAAAGTCGAAAACATATATGGACTTAAGGTAAAAAATAAGTACGCAAAATACTAAAGCATCAAAATAGATATGTACTAACATATAGGTCGAAAACTCGTGCGTAACTTAAAACTGAAAAAGAAGATACTTTCCCCAAAACATTTGTAACGCCAAAAACAAATAACTAAAAGATGGAAGTTAAAATACCTATACTGAAAATTCAAAATTGGAAAATGAGAGTGGGTCTCGCCCAAGCATAAGAAACGTCACGTACTCCGAGAATAGATGTGTCTTTGGGTTGAGCCCCAACAATAGCGAATTCGTAACAACTGCTGAAGACGAATCTTCCTACCCACTTGCTTAACGAACCCAATGAATAAGTTATCGATGCCACAGTAGGCCGCCAGCGATATCGATCACACATTTGTTGTCTCGATAAGCAAGCATAAATTTTCTGATGGTGCACCAATTCACACGTAAATTCAATCCTCCGAAAACAAGCTCGCATAACTCCTCTAACAACCAGTGTTGCCTGTAGAAACTCTCGTACCACGTCACAAAAAGCGCCATACTTAAACTGGACAACATAGAAACTGCCATCATAAAAACTTTATTCAGCACCAAACATCACATCCTCCTCAATTCTTTTAAATGTGACCAACTACTCTAAAGTTTCACCAGTAAAGAACCCATTTGAAAATAGTATTTTGGGATTCAAGAGAAGTGGCTACCATGTTAATAGCAAACTCAAAAGCTCAAGCCAAGCAAGCAGAAAACGAGAAATCACCTTTCCCAACAAGCAGTATCTCTTGGGAATTGTTGCAATGCTCAATCCACCCTTCCATTTTTGCTTAGTTGCAGATTTCTAGTCAAACAAGGCCAAAGTTAGTGGAAAGAAGAAGGACTCGCAAGTGATCAACCTAAACACCCTATGAGAACACACACCATTCAAGAGAAATGTAAAGATCTTCCGATTCTTGCCTTGACCGCGCTGTGGTGCCATTCCAGAGTGAACCAAATAGATCTGCTAGAAACGTTTCGACATCCACATACTCACAATAATAAGGTTCGGAAGTGAAGTAGTGGAAGATGAGTTGAGACGAGCACATATCGTTGGAAAAGAACCGATGTGATGCCTATGAATTATAGTAAGATGGTGATACAATCCGCTAACCTTCTGTACTGAGACCTTCATCCAACTCTTACTAAGAGACCGCTTAAACCTCACGCCCACGTGCTCGCGAACCGAATGATCCTGGTGCAAGGTAGTGGAAAGTTGTAATGGTTAACTCTGTTTCAGGAAAGAAGTCATTGCTAGTGAAGGGTGCTGTAGAGAATTTGCTTGAGAAAAGCACTAAGGTTCAGTTGCTTGATGACGCTGTTGTACCATTGGATGATAGCTCAAGGAACTATGTTGTGCAGGCTCTTCGTGAGATGTCAACTAGTGCTTTGAAACCACTGAATGATGCACTTGTTTTGAAACTCGCTGATATTATGAGCATATATGGAATTGAGAACATATCCATCAGAAGGGAATGAGCTGCTGCTTTCAAACTACCTTTCACTTGCTTTTTTTTGTATGTTCATCATATTTGCTATTGTTTTGCCACCCAAAATTTCGTCTTCCATCTTTTGTTTTACCCTTATATCGGCATGTCACTACTAATAATAATAAATTTTTTTTCTTCAGATTATTAGTCATGCTGGTTTGCAGCATGAGCTACTGGGCTGAACACTAAACTGAGTTTCAACTCTGACTTTGAGATCATTTCTGCGCAGATTTAGGTATTCAAGACACTGAAGTTGGGTAAGCCATCATACTTTACACACAAAAAAAAATAACTTTCAAGTGATTGCAAATTTGGTTGACACTGGGAAACTATGAAGATTTAATGGTGGTTGGAATCATTGATCTAACCAAAGTGGGTTTCTGTATCATGTATTTCATGAATAGAACTGAGCAAAGTGGGTTTCTGTATCATGTATTTCATGAATAGAACTGACATATCATATATAATTGACTGAATTATATACTCTTAATGTCAAACTTTCTTAACGTCATGTGATTAGTATGAATGGATTTGATATGGGAAGGTCTGCTTCTAAACTAAATCCCATTCCGAAGTGATGTTATGTGACAGAATTTATACTGCACTATGTCTTTAAAGGAAATGTTCATTAGTTTATACTCATAGCTGTTGTACTTACAGGTTTGTTTTATATATATATATATATTTAGGAACTATGCATGGTAGTTGTTAAATATTATGACATTTGAAAATTCTTAATTCTGTGATTGAAATATGATTACTATGTATTCGTTTTATTTAATTACAATTTACGAGCGATGGAAAATTTAAATTTAATTTATGCCACAATTATTAGGAACTATGTTTCACTGAAATTTAAAAATTACGGAAATACTAAGCAATCGATAATTCACTAATCAAACATGTATGTTTTATCATAGTATTATCCCTGTAATATATGGCATATAAAAGGAAACAGGGTTTCTTTTAGATGGGACCTTGCACTACGGTATGTGAGAGACTAGCCGAGTAATTGAGATGACTCATAAGCTTTCTTTTGCATGACGATAATTAATAGAAGCTATAACGTTCTCTTCACATTTCTCTCATTCCCTTGCTCAATAACTTTTCACCATTTTTTATTCCTTCTGAGAGTTGAATGAGATCGGGGCAGTCACTTAAATTCAGGGTAGCTCCATAAATCCTCTCGGGTTTTTTATTTATTTTTATATATTTTTCTCTGTTCTGTAGATTTCACCAAACAGCAGAGAATAAAGTGGTCATTATCCGTGGAGATTTCTGTTTTTCCCATCTTATTCCATAAAACTGAATTTTCAGTTATTTAAAGATCTGAATTTTTTCAACCAGATGCTACTGGGTGTAATGTTTTTGGTTGGTGTTTGCTTGCAACCCAATTTGGTGCTATAAAGTTTTGCGTTTTACAATCCGTTCATGCTTAAACCTCTTCCAATTTTGCAATTCTGTGTAAATCTTGCAGGTCAAGATGGGACACCTATCTGGGCAATGTCTGGACGTCTAGGCTTGGGTGGAGACGTGGAATTATGGAAGAGGTGAAGTAGCTTAGCTCGATCTCATTAGCTCTTATCTGTTACGTTTAAGCTCATTGGTGCTGGCTCTGAGGTTTTTCGAAACTCTGAAGCTTAGAGTCCCATTGAACCACAAGGAACTAGAATAATTGAAAAAAAAAAAAAAAATTGTTGTCTTTGGAGTGTTAACGTTTGTTCATTTCTCCCTTATAGTTTTTTATGCCTTTTAACGCTTGAACAATGATGCAGGTCTATCAAGCAGATAAGATTCAGAAAGAAAACCCCACATATGTTGCCAGCAATGCTTAATGGGAGAAGTATAGGAAACCAAAGCCTACAAATCCGAAGCCTTTTAGGTTTAGAACTTATGTATGTGATACCTGTTGTGACTAATTTCTTTACTGAGCAGTAATAGAGTTGATGCTTTATATGATATGTTTTGGGTTATTTTTTAAGGAAAGAGGGATGCTTAAGGAAGCAACTTTGGAGAAAAGAGCTCATGCGCCGCTGAAGAAGATCACATTAGTCAGGACTCCAGGGGCAAATTCAACAAGCAAACATCAGAACGTGATACAGGTATTTACGCATGAATCTGAACAATTACTTTGTGTATCACTGTCATATAGGCAAAATTTGTTATGTGTGATGGTGTATTTACGCATGACTGAAGTGGATGATGTAATTTTATGCAATTTATAATTTTGGGTTTACTAATTTTCTGCTTTTTTATGATTTATTTGACGTAAGTTTCAATCTTCAGGTACAGTTTTCAAATAGGTACTCATCAAATGTCACGAATACTGTTCCTCTGGTTTTTTAGGCTACAAATTAAATTTTGGGGTTGTTCAATTTTGTTTGATTTTGGCAGTGTTTGGTAGAAAGATGTTAAATGTGATTCTAACAAAATGAGGAACGGTGCTTTCTACATTGAAAGCTATTCTAAATGATTCTGTGTCTACTTCACTCATTCCTTCCTTATCTTCGAATTCTATCTTCTCTTCCACAACTTGTGTCACGATTCACAAAAACTAAAACACCCAACTCCTACAATTTCACCAGCCCCGTGATCATGAACATATGTAGCCGTACTTGCACATCACCAGAAGAAACTTGATGTTCATTTTGGACAAAGATGGTCGAATAATGGTATGTGAAAACCTCAGATGTTAACAAAGATGGTCTAAAATTGTGCAATGAAAAAGAAAAAAGCATACCTTTCCAACAGTGGTTTCAATGCACTTGTGCGACACCATCATCACTCTTTTTCGTCTCCCTTTCTCATTAAATCGAAAAGGAAAGCCATAAGCCATAAGCAACAAGGACAATTTATCATGCCTGTTATTGACTTCTCACTAGTACTGCCGAACATGAATTTTCTCAGTAATTAAGTGTTACAATACCTCAAAGAGGAAAAATGTCTCAAGGAAATTTCCAACCATAAAACCACACTTTAAACGCATATGCTAGATTAATTAACATCCACGATATTAAACTCGTAGTAGATCAACAATCCAGACATATCACAGCAATCCACAACTCTTGACCTGCTTCAACGAACTAATGATGCATTCCATGTAAGAAGATGGTCTTCAACGAACTAATGGTGACCACAGCAAGCAGGTTAAGAAGGGAGGTATACATAAGATGAAAATTTTGTTCAATTGGCTTGATGTTTTGCCATCACTTAATCTAATATCACAATCTCGTACATTCAATAGAAGGGAGCAGGTTACAAGGGTTTATAGCCTAGGAACCTAGTATCAGAAAACTGTGATATCACTATATCATGGTAACTGAAAACCATATAACTCGACAGAAATCATCTCAATTCCAAGGTATAAAAACATATGTACTGTAAATTACCAACTGCTGTATAAAGTAAAAGTTACAAAAACTACATAATTTTCAAACCCTGGACTTTGGTACTTAAAATGCCTGTACATTTGGGGTGGAGTTGGGGCGGAGGGCTGGACTCTGTGTATGGATAATCGCTACTGCAATTGCAAAAGACTGCAGAACTGACAGAGATGGTTGAAAATGAACAAAATACAAATCATCGTGGACATTCAACATCCTCCATGCAGGAGGACCATGCTCTGAACCCTGAAGAATTGAAATGAAAGACAAATTCAGATTATTACTTAGTTGCTCAAAAGTTAAATACCAAGTTTCAGTTCCCGTCATGTAAGTCGTAAAAGCATTTCATTCTTCTCTTTCAACTCAGAATACAATACCGCAGGATCTATTTTACGTCCAAAACAATATCTCTTTCAGGAATTACATAACCTTTTCAAATTAATAGGTCTATCATGACTCATGAGAAGTTTTCGACAACTAGAACCGGAAAAGTAACTTATCATATCAAACACCGGCTTCACAAAAATTATCAATATGTGTGGATGAAGTCAATTTTAATACGTGCTCAATAAATGATCTATGTCACGTTGTAATAAACAAAAAGAGGGGAAGAGGGGGAGGTGAGGAGGTAGGAGATTGGCGTACCATTCTATTTAATTCAAATGACTTGCACTCCCCCTGAGTGTCGGATTGAGGCAAAATGTCTTCTCTGCTTGATTTGGTTTTGAGTACCGTGAGTGGGCACCCCAGATCCCAACCTCCACAGTCACATTGTCCACCAGATCTCCATCTTTCAGTAAGACTTGAAGGACCACCATTTCTGGTCCTTGGCCCACCGTGAATTCCTGCTGGGATTAGAACATCCGTACTGGTAGAGCAGTCACCATTATTTCGACAACATTCAACAGGTACTGAAGCCTCCACTGAGTTACTGATTTTCTTATTCCCAACTTTCTTTAGAAATTTCAAACCCCAACCTCCAGCTTCCTCCTTTCGATCATCAGGGAGATGGTCTTTCACAACAATGGAAGCCAATTCGAAATTTGGAGGGAGATGATCTTCTACCAAATTGGGCACACGTAGGGCATCTTGATTGTTGCCTGTATCAAGGCATGGCTCCCGAGAAGGATTTTCAACTATGAAACATGGTCCACTCAATTTGGAGATGGTTCTTTGTTTGGATGAGTGAGTTGTCCTGAATGCTTCGACCACTTTTTTTGATAACCCCTTGCTCTTCCTGAGGTTATGGCTAGAAGTGTGCATCTCAATACCACCACCAAACAAATTAAATTCAGTCTCCATGATCTTTGAATTGCTTGGGCAGAGGGAGACCAAATTATTGACCTTCATCTTACCGACAAGGTGTGACTCACTATCACGAATCTCATGGTCCTTTTGCCCACCCTTTCCTGAATGAAACAAATATATATAGTCCAGAGTCTTATCCTCTTCAGACTCGACCTTCCACATGTTGGCTACATAGACCTCCCTTTGTTCATCTGTGGAGAAAACAAAATGAGGATTCCCTCCCTTCCACGTGCATTGAAGCATTCCCCGAGAAACAGTGGCAAGGGTGGAAGCAGAAGATTGATCAGACAATGCTGAGTTTGTGCTGCAGATAGAAATAAGTCTTTTGTGGCCAGCATTAGATTCACTTTTATGGCTTCCCTGAATTGGTGTTTCCTTTTCTAGCATCGGTGAAGAAGAGAAACTAAATCCGCCAGGTGAGTCTGTGAAATCATAGCATATCGAGCCTCTGTCATTATTGCAGTCTATTCTTCGCAAGTCTGTATTGCCACCCAAAGGCCAAAATTGGTGAAACAAAGGGCTCTTTAATGTATTCGTAATACTCTTGCTCCTCATAACTCTACCCACAATCCACCGTCCAGCAGGGCTTATTACTACACTCCCACCTCCAGCTGCCAATGGACATTCAATCACGAATCTAGCAGAACTACACGTATCTCCACTTCTACTTTCAGCCACATTCAAGCGCTCGGGCAAAGCACTGATCTTTGAAGAGCTCAATTTCACAGCTGTATTACAACGAGCTACTTTGGATGCACTAATATGAATCAATTCCATGCATTTTTGACGAAATTTTTCATCTAAGCTCAGTATGTGCTTTGGAATACTACTGTCCAAGCCAATACCACTTTGAGACAAGGAACCTTTTATGCAACATTTACTAATTTGCAAACGCTTAACATTTGAAATTAGTGCATGCTGTGGATTTGACCATGTGACCAACCTTTTCAATTTTGAGCCAGAAGAACTTAAAGTACCTTCTCCTGATAATTCCCGCTCCTCGCTCAATCTACGCAACGAATCATCTTGCCCCTGGTGGTCTTTCTGAGCATCAACAAACTTATCATCCATCTGCTGACCCCAACCAAATAGCACACATCAATGACAGATAATTTTTTTATCTATGTTCGGCCTCAAACTGAATTACATAGATTGGTTGGTAGACCGCCTTATATAACTTCCCTCCGTCCAAGTCTTATCTTACAAGTAACCTGAACATAAACACATACTCCAAGCGATAAGTGTAAGCTATCAATTTGCAGAAGTAAGTAGATATCAATTGGGAATTTGGTAGTTTTTCTTAAGCGAATATATCCAAATATCAATGAAACTATCTATCAACTCAGAAACTTTGGAAATAAATCCAGAAATTGAAGAGGGTTGCCAAATACCATGCTTCTGAGACTGTTTGCACAATCTGAAGTTTGAAGCATAAGGCTCCAGCACAATCTTAAAAAATAAGTTTGGAGATTTTTATTTATTTATTTATTATTTGTTATCCAATCAACACCAAATTCAAAATATCTTCAAAAGCTCTAAAGATTCACCAACGTAACAGTTTACCTTCTAATTCAATAAAAACAAAAATACATAACTCCTAATTTGTAGCTGTTCATCTTACAAGTTCTCTTTTTCTCTGCCCAGAACAGTACAATTTCTCTAACAACTGAGGAGGAAGATGACGGAAAGACTAAAGATTCAATCTTTACACATCTTACCTCCATACAAACAAAACCCAGAAAGGAAATTCAAAATAATATTTATAAAACTCACAATTAAAGCCTCAAAGTTGCCTATTATTAAAATAAAAAAGCCACAAAGTGGCCATAAAACATGGAACACTGAGTCCTGACACCCTGAAAAACAGTTCAACCCATCTATAAAATATACAATAAAAAAAAAATACTAGAGGACCAATTGTTTTCTCTTACCTGATGAATTGGATCCGAGGAGAAGCAAGCAGCACAGAAATCAAATGCTCACAGATTAGCAAACACCCACAAGCACTGATAAAAAAAAAAGCAGCTTATTTGCCACACATTAAACACCGTTTTGCTCTTCAAACTTTGAGCTTATTCTCCCAACCGCAAACTTTAAGCACCAAGAAGACTGAAAGAAAGGTCAATAAAGGAAGGGAAAGAAAAAAGGTGAAAGAATAACCAACCAAGCACATGGAAAAGCAGAGACAACCAACATGGCCGCCGCCACCACCACCACCACCACCTCCACCTCCACCGCCACTAATGCTCTCACACGTCTCACAATACTAGGTTCCGAATTCTCTGGTTTTTTGTCAAGAAAATGGCGCAACAGTTCTAGGCAGCCATTGAAGAAAGAAGAAGGAAATGGCGGGCGTGGGTGGAAAAAACAGAACTTCTATATTCTTGTTTTGGGGTCTGAAATGGGTTTCGCATGTAAGCCACGTTTTCTGGGTTGAATTTTGTTGCTTGTTTGAGTTCTGCCCAAAGTCCCGGGTTTCATCAATGTGGGCGGGGACCCACTTCATATTTTTGCATTTTCTAAGCCACTACATTGACAAAAATAGCTGCTTAAGAAAATGTTTATGACCTGGGTTAATGTATTCATTTTTCATTTGTAAGTAAAAAGTTTTAAATTAGATTTTTGTTAAAAACGAATTTGAATAACATTATTACTAGTTATTATGGGATAGGCTCACATTTTTTCTTTTTAGTGTAAATAATATCGTTTGTTCAAAAAATAACAAAATGCTTATGAGTTTTGTGTGTCTTGGTTGATTCTATCTTAGGAAGAATATTGCTTAAGTGTTCACGGATGAGTTTTTGTTGAAGAGGAGCATATCATATTGTTATGCTCTAGGGTTGAAATTTGTCAACTATTCTTGTTAGATTGTGAATATACGGCTCCATGATTAAACAAATTCCAAACTAAGAGAGGGTTATTGTCAAATCACTCACCTAACCAATGTAATATTACGATTTTGATTTGTTCAGATTAAGAATTAGAGAGTGGTATAACAAAACAAAATTAGCCCGTTTAGTAAAGCATTTGGTTTAGTGACTAATCTGGTTTGATAATTTCACTTTATAAACAATTATCTTAAATATTTTATACTCTCTTATTTACGTATATTAAAACAAATCATTATGTGATCGATTGAATAATTACATTTACACTTATGTGATACCCAACAAACAAAATTACACTTCGCAATTACCCAACGTCACAAGTAACGAGTCAATTGAAATATTATATTTTGTGGGATTCTGAATTTGGTACATTACAATTTGAATTTATAATATTGTACGAGCTTATCCCTTTACTGTTTGGTATGGTTCAAAAATAGGGAGGCGAGTTTCTTGGAAATAAGTATTTAATATTAGAAAGCCAGAATAATAAATAAAGAGAGAGTTGGATAGAGAGAGGCAAAAGGGCGTTTAGTGGGTGAGCTGGTGCGCATGATACTGAGAAAGCCAAAGAACCCCGCTGCGTAGGAACCAGGATCCTTTTCTAATCTAAGGATGAGGATCCTCATGATCAAAGGATGTAGGCTGTTAGATAAAAATTCAACAGTTATAAACAGGATATTCTTTTAAAATTATAATAATTATAATCGTTGGTTTTTTATCTAACGGTCCATATCCCTTGATCATGAGGATCCTCATTCTTAGATTAGGAGAGGATCCTAATCTGCTGCGTCGGTCATGGTGGGCCAACTACTCCTAACCAACTAAGAAGACGCCACATCAGCAAGTTGCCTCTGTTTTTTCTCATATGGCAATTGGGTCGAGTTGAGACAAAATTTTGTTTGTTTTTCATTTCGTTGCTTCAAATTTTGGCTATGATTTTTTATGCATTGAACGTCGACGTGTGAAGCAGAGAAATTTATGTGTACACTCTACGAATGCTTTGTCATGCTGATGTTTTGTAATAACAAGATAAATATGTGTGTATACTTTTTATTCACATGTTTTTATTTTATAGATAATGCTAGAGAGATTAAGTTTAAAAACTAAGTTTGCAAATTAAAGGATATGTCACCAATAATGATAAACATATTTATTAACGTTTAAGTAATTAACCAATCATCAACTTCCATGTTCTTTAGTTTCCAAAACTTTGTCTATAAATTTAGTCTCTCTAGCATTACCCAATTAATTAACACAAAATGTTGAGTGATGGTATATTCGTGCCATGAAAATTGTTATCTGTATGAGAGAAGGAATTCTTTTTTCAATCAATGACATTATATGATAACTATTTAACAGACAATCATCTATATAATCAGTTGTGCCACTGAGATAATAAATTTGTTGTAAGAGTATTCGTATAAAAAATACCATCACATCGTGTTATAACACAAATAAACAATATAATTGACAAGAGTACAAAATGGGGATAACGTAGGAGATGGTCAAGTACATACATACCTATGGGTTCAACTTCCCAGTGACTACCGACCTTTACATCACTACAATCTTTGCCATTATATTATTTTTTTTGTTTCTATTTTTATATATTTGTGTATTTATTACTCATATTAGTTTATTTAATGTGTTCATATTATCCTTCCCTACTTATTTATTATTCAAGCGGTGGATAATATTTACTAATCTAATTCTTGATCTCAGCCGGAGGATTAGATCGGCTATCACCTCAATAGATTTATTTCCATCATTCAATGGTTATGATGTTGCAATCATAAATATAAATTATGGCTACTTAATTCTCAAAAATTATTATTTTATTGACTTCCTATAATTTTATAAATACACGCACTTTTTTAATTTATATGCACTTCTTGTTGTACCCCGACAATCTTATGGATATATACCCAATTAAGATTTAAAAAACTAAACACCTACATCCACCGTCCACAATCTTAATTGTTCCTCTCTCTCTCATCAGCCACCATCATGGCAGTCACCTGCATCATTCCGGCCATGCAAGCGACGAAGGTGGTGGAGGAAGGTCAAACTTGTTCTAACACACATTAATATGTTTTTGGTATTTTTCCAAACATGAGACGAGTTCACACTTATAATATTTTTTTCAACATTTTGAAAAGAAATGTCATTAACCTATTTCTATTGTCAGACGTCTGTACACTCTAATTTTATGCAACAGTACGTAAGCTTAGTCAAGTTGCAGAGAATATTGTGCCCGACCATCATGCAACAGTACGTAAGCTTAGTCAAGTTATAGAGAATATTGTGCTTTATCATCTGCATTGGAGTTTAAAATCGGTTCTAGAGACAGGCGCGTCCTACTTTATTTGTCGCATCAAAAGTGGGACGAACTAGTTCTATCTTATTGTGTTTCGTTCCACCTCACGTTTAAACGCAACCTTAAGGCCTCGTTTAGTATAGAATATTAGGTTGGAATAAAATAAAACAATATTTTTCAAGGCAAGTTAAGGGAATTAAACAAGTAAATAAAGTTAATTTTACTAAAACAATTTGAGTCCACAATTTTTCTGACCACCCTCTTTTGAATCTCTGTTTTCCCCGTGCTCAATAATGAGTTAGTAACTACCAACTAGACAAAGAAAAAGCTGGTTCACATAACAGCCAAAGAAAAATTGAATATCTATAATTACATGTGTAACAAATTGAACATAGGCTGTTTGAAATTGAACATGGTGGTTGTTGGTCTCTATGCCTAATTTCCCAAGGGGAACTAGTGACTTATAATAAATAAAAGATAACTGCAAAGGAGACTCTCTTAAAGTGGGATTCTTCAGAAACTCTTTGACATTTCATAGTTTAACATTAATTTTGATGCCAACATTATAAAACATTGTACTAAAAATATGATGTGACATAAAGTCTATAAATAATCCCTCTTTTGAAAGAATCTCCTTAACATTTCTCAAAATAAAATAGTTTTAATGGCATCCCCACTAACACAAAGCATTTGGGATGGCATCTATCCACTATCCTATTTGCATAAAAAAAGCTTTCCATGTAGATATGCTTTTCTTGATATATGATGGCAATTTGACCTAAGGGTTCCACCACTAGGAAATTGGGTTACAAATTTCCCTCTAATATATGATGATACTTTGTTTTAACTGGAATCGATTTAATGTG